AAAAAAAAAAAAAAGGAGGCCAAAGATATGTATTACTTGAAAGGGAAGGTTTACCTAATTTTGTTTCCTCCGTCTTGGTTACACACCGGCAGCAGGTCCATGAGAACTTTGTAGAAGTATCTCAGGGTAAAATCAATGCCCATCACTGCCACAGTGTGTCCTGATGACATCTGTGCACTGCAAAGGGAAAAAATAACATGAAAACAGACTTGAAAATGTTTTTGCTTAATAACTCAATTCTCTAATTAATAAGAGGGACTAGGTTCCCTAGCACATCAACGATCAGCTCAAACCCATTCCTACGTATTCAAGAATTTAGTTTTCACTTGTTTTCTTAAATTGAAGACTGTCCTCTAAGAAAATTTAGATCCGACCAGCACTTATTTTCCATTTAATTCTTATTGACACAAGTGAGAATTAAGAATTCCCCAAGCATGTCCATCCAACAACCTCCTCTGCTTCCCAGCCCGCTCCAGGTCCCCGGCCGACCTGCCCTGGGCTGCCCCCGCCCTGGACACGACACCAAGTGAGAATTAAGAATTCCCCAAGCACGTCCATCCAACAACCTCCTCTGCTTTGCAGCCCGCTCCAGGTCCCCGGCTGACTTACCTTGGGCACCGATCGGCTGCTGCCCCCGCGCTGGACACGACATGGCAGCCTCAAAGCCAAAATCCCTATTTGAAAAATCTGATTTATTTTTAGTTCTACCCGTTTCAGGGAGAATGAATGGGACAAAGGATGACAGTGAAAGAGCACAGGCACATTTAACTCCGTGGGACAAGGCGTGAAGCTGTGGTGTTCTGAAGTTACTGCTGAATTCCAGTAGGCAAAAAGCTGTTAGGAACACTAGGAACACTTTAACTTAATTTTTAAGCATTAGTTCCTTCTGGTTTTCTGATGAAAGTTGCTTTAAATAATTTCGTGCATCAATCTCCTACTCCCAACTGTCAGAAAAAGAAAGCAGAGCAGTGCATAAAGTTGGGCAAAGAGACAGGTTTCAGTTCCAGATAAATGAATATTGTAATTTAAACCCACATATTAGTTTCTGATGGATGCATGTCCATTAATTCTACTCTTTTGCACTTTTAAAATTTTTGTTTTTAACTAAGAACTGTTTGGAGATTATAACTGCATGTGATTATAATCTTTAGAGGTCATATTTACCTAGGAATCACATTCCCATCTGCCTAACCCTGTTTAACTGTTCTTTAATCACGGCCTAATGAGCCAGGCCAGCAGTTGTTGAAGTGAACTGAACCATCTCTTGCGAGACAGAAATCAGAGTTTTCATTAATCACGCTTCTCTCTCTCCTCAGAGAAGGGCATATTTTCTTAAGCAATTTCTCTGTGCAAAACCACACAGATAGCAAGCCTGACAATACTCCTGCCAAAAGAGATAAAGCCATGTTGTGGGGTGGGAAAACACAGGCAAAGCCAAGATGTCTCTGGAGAAGAGTGGAAGAGCAACTGCCCTAAACTCTGCTGCTCTGGGGAGTGTATTTACCAGCACTGAGCTAAAAGCTCCCTTCTACTGGACAGATATTAAATGGAGTGTGGAGAAGCCACCTGCTCAGTGAAAACCTTGGGACAGGCTCCACATAAAAGCCAAAATGAACAACCAGTATTTCTGAAACTTTCTGGTGTTTCTAATTGCTCACAAGCTCCTTTAACCCTGCACATCTCAAACCAGCGGTATCTCGGATGCTGGATCTCCTAAACAAGAAAATGCCCCAGTCCTTGAGGAAAGGATCATTTCAGCTCTGTAAAAATATTCAGAAAAGAGGAAGGCTCCACTTCTCATGGCGGCAATACTAACTGCTGAGAACGAAGGAAACACTAACACTCCTTTTATCAACACTGACAGATGGCTAATTAAACACCACGGGTCCTTTAGCTGGAGGTGGTTGTTTAATCCCTAGACCAGTGTTGTCACCCGGTTTTCTGCAATACTGCAAGTCCAGGCCAAAGTTTACAGGCTTTTCCTTACGTTCTTTCATGCCTGAGAGCCCTGGCATAAAACAGCTCCGTGATAAAATGACACTGCTTGGAGCGTGCAGGATGGCTCTTTACTCGAGACAGTCGCGTGGACTGAGCCTTGCCAGCAGGCAGGCAGATTTCCTTTCACCTCTCGCTCCCTTCCAAACCTCCACGGGTTCCTGCCCCTTCTGTGTGCAAGCAGCCTCAGCAAACTGCAGGAAATCTGGAGATTAGCTGTCTTGATGAAAAAGTAGATCAGTCTGCTTGGCTACCAGCAGAGAGGGAACAGGGAACACATCCAAAACTGCCGTATGAAAGGGCTCCCTCTCCCCCTCCTACGTCCTCGTCTGGGATACACGAATCCCTGTCTCATGTCACCAGGAGCACGTTCTCAGCCAATCAATCTTTTCCTCTGTACACTGTTATTATTCATATATTAATGAAGCTATAGAATACAAACCTATTCATATGCATGGATTATTCTGCAGCATTTCAATATACTATTTCCACTGCACCAACAAGGCTATATTTCTTCAAAAGCACTTTAAGAACAGCTTTGGTTTTCAGTTCTTGGAACCTGCATTTCTGCTCTCCCCTATGCAAATCTCTTTAGAAGGTAACTCAGAGTCTTCCTGCTCGGCACAAACCTCAAACCACAACCTACCTGGAAGAATGGACCGTGTGACTGATGGTGACCACGTAGCCGGCCCCTCCGACATCCAGGTAGGGCCCCGTGAACGTTATCAGGCCTGGGTTGGCCACTGCGTGCAAATACCTATGGAGAGCAGAAGAAGCAACCTGGGTTAGTGAGAACTGGTGGCTTAAAACCTGCAGGCAGCACCCTCCATTTCCCAGAGACACAACTTCTGCCAAGCGCCAACAACATGTTCCTGAATTAATGTTTCTGCTTACGGATCTTAAAATTAACCCATGCATAATTAAAACCCAGAACTGAAATAGTTCAGATTGGTTCAAGAAATAATTCCTCAGCACAAACGTATTAAAATAGCTCAATTCACTTCAGGGTAAAATACGTATAAAGTAATTTTACTATTTTTTTTCCAGAACAACACACGGCCAGAGCCAGACAAGACTTGAGCTCTCGAAGCAAGCACAATCCACATCATTACAGGGCAAGCACAGGAGCAAGCCAGTCTTACAGGCAAAAAGAAGCCAGGAAACAATTGCAAACTAGAGTTTCTCAGAAAACTTGCTTGCAACATAAAATAAGCCACAATGCAGTCAAACATCTTCTACAGCAAGAGGAAAACTTATAAAACATTCTAATTGTTAAAATCACTTTTCTTGTGTTGTACAAGTAGCTTAACCGAGTTCTGTTTTATTACTAGTCTGGTACTCTGGATTGCATGCTCTTTCCAAAACTCTCCTCCTCGGGCTGTATGTGCACAACAACTACCTCATGGTCTATAATGGTGCCTTCTTTAAAACTGCAGATAGAAAAAAAAAATCAAAAAGTGTGACAGTAGAAAAAAGGAAAAAAAAAGATCTTTTAGAAATGGACACATGGGATTGGAAAGGCATGCTCAGTCCATTTGCAGCAGGA